CACGCGCCCACCACCACTCCCGGCTAGTTTTTTGTATTTTTTAGTAGAGACGGGGTTTCACCATGTTAGCCAGGATGGTCTCGATCTCCTGACCTAGTGATCCGCCCGTCTCGGCCTCCCAAAGTGCTGGGATTACAGGCTTGAGCCACCACGCCCGGCCAACTTGTACACTTTTAACATTTAAAACTGAGCATAATCTTTCCAGTGAAACAAAAACTTCAAAAATAAACAGGAACAAAATTACAATAGAGAATGTCAATTTCAAATAAGATCCTACAGGTTCTGCTGATTCTCTCATTGAGTGGCAGGGCTCAAGTCATCATTAGGAGAGAATTTATTTTAAAAGTATCATCTTAAACTGCAAGGATGTCTGTCAAATATCACAATTAAACATGCCAAAGGAGAAGCCATATTATCAAAATGCCCACTTAACCCACTCAAACATCTCAAATCCACCCTTTGCTGACCTTCTATAACCCCATTTTTTTACGTTTTTTTTTTTCCTCTTTTAAACAAGAGAAAGTAGACACATACATGTTGGTAAATGCTAACTGTCCACATTCACATAGAGACACAGTGTACTCTCTGAGCCCAACATACAGAGAAAGGAGGAAACAAGCTAGAATTCTATGCACTGCTACACAGGGGCCTAGCACCCTCCAGCTTCCAGCAGAGCGAAGGGAGCAGGGTTTTCTTTCTTCCCACAGAGCTCGGTGGTGTTGATTCCACACAGTTTTTGTTCAGACAGGAAGGGATAAAAATGAACTTCGAACAGAAAGAGGTAGAGACTCTTTTCCCATTGTATTCTGCTCAAGGTATTTCCCCCCAAATAAGTTGAGAACCATGGAGTACAGAAAAGAGACCTCAAGAACTGGGCGACTGAGCACAAGAGGAAAAAAAAAAAAAACACTGCAACTTGCTCCCAGGGACTGGAGAAAATTTAAAAAAAGGAAGGTTGGAATCCATCAGTGTTCTATTAGTCATCTTCTCCTTCATCTTCCTCTCCTTCCTCCCCTTCATCATCATCTTCATCTTCTTCACCTTCATCCTCATCCCCTTCCTCATCAATATCTTCTAATCCTTCCTCCTCTTCATCATCATCATCATCTTCTCCTTCTCCTTCTTCATCATCCATATCAGGAACCAAGTAGTACTGTAATGGGTTTGGCCAAATATCATCTTTGATGACCTCTCCTAACTCATCAGCACCTGCATCAGAATGGTCAGTAAACCAAGTAAAGAAGCTCTCTGGTTCCTCATGCTGCCTCTTCCTGCTGGCTTTATTCTGTGTTTGACTTGAATGTTTAGTCAAATCCTTTCCAGATTTCCATTTGATTTCGGTGGACTTTGAAGATGGACCACCACTCTCATTCAG